AATAATTCACCACGTGAAATAACTCACCTTGTAAAATAACTCACCTTGTACAAACGATATAGCACAAAGTAAATTTTCCTCGGGAGGTATGCTCGTGCCTCCTTCAAGAGATATTTACTTTTAAAGCCGTTGAAACTTTCAGGAATAGATAATATTGGAATAATCTAGGTTTATCAGGTTCATTGCTGAAAAGATGAAAAAAATTGCGTGATTACTATATATTTTGTTCGAACTAACTCCAGCCTGGAGACGAGCACTGCAGCTATCAACAACAGGATAAGTGGATGATTAACATTGCAGATAATAGCCAATTAATTACGGCTAATAATAAATAAATAATATAATTTCGCGATAACGACGAAAGAAATTTATTTATCCCATTTTTAATTTAATCGGGAATAGAAGATGAAGAATAAACCACGGTCGCATAATTTTATACATTTCGAACACAAACACTACGTTGTCCCCACCTTCCATAATTCAAAAGAACTTTGTATATATATTAGCATTTTAATTTCGAGCTGTTAATTCATGACAAAATTTATCATAAAAGACAGTAATTTTATTTATGATTTAGTTAAGCACCATGACTTGTCACAAGATAGAGTGTCACAATGACGAAAACATAGGTATATGCAGAAATAATTGTGAAAATGAAATAGTAAATAATTCATCTTTTATAAAACGAAAATTTGTTTATTCAATCGATTAGTGATTCCAATACAAATACTTTTAACGAGAGATAAAATTAATTATCAGTGAAACTAACAGTTGCTTATTGCTAGTTCAAACTCTTTAGTTTTCTGACAAATTTAGTAATTTTATGGTGATTTTTAACAATAATTGGAAAAAATCTTTTTCACAATGCTGCAACTTTATTGAAGATCGAATGTTTACACGTATTATTACACAGACGTGTATAAATGTTGCTCTCGTTTGTCATCGATTTATCAAAATTACCAACTCGTTTGAAAAATCGTAACTTCTAAACAAACTATAGGAATTTAATTTCAAAAAGGGAATTATAAATACAATTGATAATAAAGGTCTGATATTACCTTCTTCTTGTCTATATAAACATTTTGAAGCACTAATTCGAAACAAAATACACAATTGAACTAACTACATATATATACTACATAATTACAATACTACTATAACTACAATTTAATTCCAAGCATCTAACAGGCTTTAATAACCAATAATATTGAGCAATAGTTTATTATAAATTATGTTAAATTAACATTAAAAATAAATTAATTTTCCTTCGTGGGGAACAAGATCCTTTCTTCACTTTGAAGGTCCATTTAAAGGGTTCATGTTAAAAACGATCCTTGTCGATTATATAAATTTTACAAGAACGGGAGAAAATATTCTTCATCTTTAATTTATTTTTATAGAACCAATTTTTTTATATTAATATAATTCTTTAAATATATCGTTCTTTATAATAACGAATCCACGATGGTCACGAGTCTTGCTTCAAATTATTCAACTTAATTAGAAATTACTTAGAAACTCAGAAAGTTAAGGATTGGTTCTGGTACGAACCCTTCAATTAAAAATATCCGTGAGGTTATTCATATAATAATCGTAATGACTTCTTCGTGTATATTGGTGCAAACAGAAGCGAATAATAAAATTGCAGATTATTAATATCTCCGCTGTGACACTAGTGGGGTCCAATGGATTAAGCGACTTAAGAATGATGAAAGTGTAAATACATTAGTAAAAAAGCACGACGTTGGAAAATCGTTAATTGCAAACGTTAAAGAACTTAATTTCACTGCACTAAATTTACCAAAAAAAAATCATATAATTTAACAGCTAAGAAAATTTGTGGTCAAATTAAAAATATTTTTTAATCCCTTATTTGTGGTTACTGTTATTACCTAGATATAATATTTATATTTTTATTTTTTTGAATGTATGAAAATTATTATCAAGAAAGTATTTGGTCTATTACCTGAAAATTTTCTTATCCAAAATTATGTTTCTAATTAGTTCAAATATCTGAAGTTTTACTGCAATCATGTGCCAAAAGAAATTATGTAATTTAACAGCTAAGAAAATTTGTGGTCAAACTAAAAATATTTTTTATTCCTTTATTTGTGGTTACTGTTATTACCTAGATATAATATTTATATTTTTGTTTTTTGAAATGAATGAAAATTAACATCAAGGAAATATATGGTCTATTAACTGAAAATTTTCTTATCCAAAATTTTGTTTCTAATTAGTTCAAATATCTGAAGTTTTACTGCAATCATGTACCAAAAGAAATTATGTAATTTAACAGCTAAGAAAATTTGTGGTCAAACTAAAAATATTTTTTAATCCTTTATTTATGATTACTGTTATTACCTAGATATAATATTTATATTTTTGTTTTTTGAAATGAATGAAAATTAACATCAAGGAAATATATGGTCTATTAACTGAAAATTTTCTTATCCAAAATTTTGTTTCTAATTAGTTGAAATATCTGAAGTTTTACTGTAACCATATACTTAATGTAATCTTGTAATTTAACAGCTAAGAAAATTTGTGGTCAAACTAAAAATATTTTTTAACTTCTTTATTTGTGGTTACTGTTATTATCTAGATATAATATTTATATTTTTGTTTCTTAAAATGTATGTTAATTAATGCCAAGGAAATATTTGTATTATTACCTAAAAATTCTCTTATCTATAATTATGTGCTCAATTAGTTCGAATAACCAGTTTTACTGCAATCATATATTTATCCCCTTATTAACTTATATAAAGGTTGATTTATACCAATAATCTTGAAGAGTAATCTTGAATTATTCAAAACACTCTGAAAGATGTACTGCTATTTAGCATAGAAAGCTCATGACGAGTACGAGATTTATACATCAAAGTAATGATACTGCCTAATGTAATTACAGTGAGCATAATAAAAATATATTTTCGGAATAGAGTACAAAGTGAAAAATCAAAGACGTATTTTTCTACCTTTATAATTTTCGTGATTAAACTATATCGTAACGAATTTAGAAAGTCAAGAAATCTTGTGAGGTATATCCAAAATGAACAATAATTATTTTTTAATTTTTAGAAATATTTATTAGAAGGTTGAAAATCGTGTTACATCGATTTACTCTTTTATATATTATATTACTTATTGTCGCAAACAATGAAAATCATAGTGCTAGGTTTTGGATACTTGGCATCGAAAATTTTACCTATTTTCACAAAATTTTACTAATTTTCATTTCATATTTAATTGTTTCAAAATAATTTTAGATTATAATGGCCTACTGTCATACGTGTGTATTTAAGACGCTTTGTATAATCCAATTTCGATTATTCTGTGCCACCATGCGACCATGCTACCTTTATCGAACCCTCCGTGCAAAACACAGAAGTTTTTCTCTGAGTCATTCGCCGGTTTAAGAGATGAACTTGACTGATTACTAAAACTGATATTGTGTTTCGAAACAGTTGATTAATTATTGAGCAGAACGTTTGCGTTATACAAAATCTCTCATCATATTTCAGTGCTGATAACGCACTTATCAGGGTCTAGTATTAAGGTGTTAGCGATAAGAGTGATTGTTACATTCCGTGATGATAGTACCGAATTAGGCCAAACATTACTTATTATATAAAATGTATCGTTATCGTGAAATGAGAAAACTAAATTATGGGTAAAATGAAACACATCATTATATTTAGATGAATGAGTTATATATTAATGTAATGAAAGTGTCCTCATTGGCTTTACAATAATAATCAATTTCAGTTGATGTAAATACAACATTGAAGTAAATAAGAAGTTGTAGGAAATGTTGATTCTATATATTAATTGTAATTAAAGAGAAAATCCTCTTCCTCAATTCAATCAAAGAAATGTAATAAAAGAATTTAAGAAAAGATCAATTAATTCTTGAAATTTAATGAAGGAAATATTAAGCAAGTTAAAAATTATAGAAAATATTGAAATATTAATTGAAGTAACAATTTTAATTATTCGAAGTTAAATGATATTTTAATTTATATTTTTGATGATATTTAAATTTATATTAGTAATATCTGATTTTATATTTATTATTTTAATTTGATGTTGTTAGTTATTTTTTGAAACAATTTTTAAAATGTTTAAGATATCGCTATAATAGATATATAAACGTAGGTTACATTGATACTTTATATTAATAATAATTGTAATTAAAAAGAAAATCTTCCTTCTTCAATCCAATAAAAGAAATGTAATAAAAGAATTTAAGAAAAGTTTAATTAATTCCTAAAATTTAATAAAGAAAATATTAAGCAAGTTGAAAGTTATAGAAAATATTGAAATATCAATTGAAGTGTCAATTTTAATTATTCAAAGCTAAATAATATTTTAATTTATATTTTTGATGATATTTAAATTTATATTAGTAATATCTGATTTTACATTTATTTTAATTTGATGTTACTTATTTTTGAAACAATTTTTAAAATTTTTAAGATATCGCTATAATAGATATTATATAAACGTAGGTTTCATTGATATTTTATATTAACAATTTAGCTTACATAAACAAATTGTATATTTTTACATAAAGAAGGAACATAAGGAAACTGTCATTGAAAGTGGTTTAGTATATATAAATAAGTAGTACTAGTAATAAAAAATACATTTTTTTATTAAATATAAATACGTTCAACTTTATCACATTATTATTTATACAACCATATTAAATCTTCTTATTTGTCAAAACTAGCTTATATTCTATTGTGTCGTTTCAGAATAATTTAGTTATGTCTTTTTAAAACATTCACAAACATTCTTGTATAAATTTTACAATAACATTTTATGATATTATTACTTCATTGTACATTGATTTCGTACTATGGATGATAAACATTTTTGCAAAGTGAATTATAACGAGCGTAACAATTTGAATACAATGTTCCTTGATTGTATTTCAAGTATCTACTTTGTGAATCTCAATCATCTGTTATGCAAATCATAGTCCAATTTAGTTAAAAATTCAGTAACAGCAATAATACTAGTATTAGTCCCATTGTACTGGTTATAGCACTGCCAGCTGAAAAAAAAGAATTGTATGTATTAATTGATTGAAAACTATAATATACTTTTGCACATGAAAATAATAAAATAAAATAAATTTAAAAAAGTATTTTTATTTAAACAAATACATCATTATGTCACTAATATATCGTAAAATTAATAAATTAATAAATTTCTAAAGAAATAACTCCTCATTTTTTTAAATAAAAATGCAAAGATAATATAAACAATACTAATTGAAAATGAAAAAGATGGAAAATAAATATCTGTAAAAAGTATATTTATCTATTTGAAGATTTTTTGAAACATTATTATCTGAAAATTTAATCATGTTTCTAGGTATTTGTTTTTGGCAGCAGAACTTCTGCATCAGTCAAAATAATTGCTTTGAATATCTTATATTTTGAATGACTAGCAATGTGCAGCTATTTTTGCCAAATTAGTATTAACTTTTATCGAGATGGAGGCACAGAAACATTAATTATTCATAATTGTTAATTGTTCATTGTTCATTGTAAACAATATACACCGAATTTAGGTATACATTATAATTAAATGATTCTGCTATTTATAATCTCTAAAATGTTACAATAAATTCATAAATTAATAATACAGGACCTAGTAAAGTTAATAATACGTATTCTACGTAGTTAAGTGTTTAATTTGACCGATAAGAATGAAACTACAAAATTAAAAAGAATGTAAAGGAAGAATATAGCAAGTAAATAGAAAAATGTGGTTACAGAGTGTCATTTTTCCTCATTCTTCCACAAAAAGATTCTGCTCAAATGAATTACATCTGGCATTAATCAACTTGAAAATGTGAGCATCGATAAATTAATAACTTAAAACCTAATTAAAATAATATATTTCCTGCATTATTGAATACCCAAATAAAACGATAAGTGATAAAACCACAGAAGTACAAGAAATATGAGAAAGGAAGGAAGATAATGTTTAAGAAATGTCGTTATTCCTTAAATGCTCAAGAAAAACGATGAAGAATAAAATCACAGAAATAAAAGGAATATAAAAAGGAAAGAAAAGAAATTGTTAGAAGCATTATCGTTATTCCCCATTCCTCTGCGACAAGATTGGCTTCAAATGATTTATATTTTATTAATAAACTTGAAGATGTTAGAACTAATAAACTACTAAAATCTAATGATATTAATAATATAAGGGCATATGCCCTTCATAGTACTAAATATTCAAATAAAACGACGGGAAATAAGAATACTAAATAATAATAGAAATATAAAACAACGAAACAAAATAGTAATTCTAAGGAACGTCGTTATTCTGTGGTAATGATTAACATAGATTTTGATATAATAAAGGAGAGATGTCTGTAAGAAAGGGATGAGTGTGACAAGTATGCATGGGATGCCAATATCTAATGGATTCAGGTTATCGTGGTAAATGAGTATGCGTGTAATGATTGAGGCGTTGTGTGAATTGTGTATGTTCATTTAACAAGATTTATCCACGTGTAACTCGTTATGCTTTACATATATGCATACTTCTATTAAAATCGAAATTTTTAGAGTACTCCTTCGAAATAGGTATAGCGTTGGAATACTTTCGCGAACCAGTGTATATAGAACTAAAATAAATTCGGTGATGGAGGAATAATAAAGAGTGTGGATAGAAATGGACATAAATATCTGTGGTAATGGTTAACATAGATTTTGAATATATATGTGTTGATATAATAAAGGAGCAATGCCTGTAAAAAAGGGACGAGTGGAACAAGTATGAATGGGATGCCAATATCTAATGGATTCAGGTTATCGTGATAAATGAGTATGCGTGTAATGATCGAGATGTTGTGTGAATTGTGCATGTCATTTAATGCATGAAAGTAGAAAGAAGAAACCAGAGAGATCGTGCATAGGTCAGTTGTAACTGAATTGCAATAGTGAAAATAGGTGTGAGCATGAGATTGCGAAAAATTAATTAGATTTATACTTAATATTTGTATTTGATCATTTTTTTGTAATTAAATAAAGAATTGTTCTTATTGTTATTGATATTTCATCCACCACTAACATATTCCTCGTTCTCCTATGCAAAGGTTCATCTCAAATAGATCACATCTGACGTTGATGAATTTGAAAATGTTGTAATTAATAAATTAATAGCATAAAATCTCATAACAATAATACAACTTCCATATGGTAGATTATTACTATATTAATATTATTACTATAATAATGTATATATAATAGTATAATAATATTATCACTTGATAATAAAATTACTGGATGAGAAATAGAAACAACCAAGATAAAGGAAATTTAATGAAAGAATGCAGAAAAAATAGTAGTTCCAAGAATTATCATTATTCTTCTTTCTCCTGTGAAATAGTTCATGTTAAATGTATCACATCTGACGTTGATCAACTTAAAAATGTTGTAATTGATAAATTAATAGCGTAAAATTTCAATAATTATACAACTTCCTCGTGCTGGAGTATTCAATTAAAAATTACTCCATTACTCAATATTGCTATGATAATATGTATATAATAGAATAACAATATTATTACTCGATAATAAAATTCCTCGATGAAATTAATAACGTACAATCTCATAACAATTCATCATAACAGGACTTCGACAAGGTGGAGTACTCAATTAAAAATTACTCGATTACTCGATATTACTATGATAATATGTATATAATAGAATAACAATATTATTAATTGATAATAAAATTCCTCGATGAAATTAATAGCGTACAATCTCATAACAATTCATCATAACAGGACTTCGACAAGGTTGAGTACTCAATTAAAAATTACTCGATTACTCGATATTACTATAATAATATGTGTATAATAGCGTAGGATACCATTTTGGAAAAAAATCGCGAATCGGTCATTGTCAATAAAAACAAATTATAAACCGATCAATATTTTCTACAAGCAAATGAAAAAGGTATTTTGGGCAACAAAATTAAGTTACGCGGTCCCTACGGGGAGGTAAAGCGTAGGTTAAGAAAAGCATAAAAGCAGGATCCTTGATGACCAAAGCAGAGTCCTTAAAAATTAATTGTGATCGGCACAAACTTGAGTCGTTCTGTGTTGGAAGGAGAGTTAAATTAGAGTGCGTCATTGTGTGTTTTCGTTGCGTTATCTTGGTTTTCGTTTCCAAAGATAAATTATTTTCATGAGTTTTGTGTTTGTGTTGTTTTGTTCTTGTGGTTCTATCAGTTTTTGGTGTCTCAAAGCCAATTTTCACAATCCTACAATAGTATAACAATATTATTACTCGATAATAAAATTCCTCGATCAAACTAATAGCGTACAATCTCATAACAATGATATAACTTCGACATGGTAGAGTACTCAATTAGAAATTACTCGATTACTCGAAATTACTATAATAATATGTATATAATAGTATATTAATATTATTACTCGATAATAAAATTCCTCGATGAAATTAATAGCACAAATTCTCATAACAATGATAGGACTTCCACATGCTGGAGTACTCAATTAGAAATTACTCAATTACTCGATATTACTATAATAATATGTATATAATAGCATATTAATATTATTAGTCGATAATAAAATTCCTCGATGAAATTAATAGCGCATATTCTCATAACAATGATATAACTTCGACATGGTAGAGTACTCAATTAGAAATTACTCCATTACTCGATATTACTATAATAAAATGTATATAATAGTATAACAATATTATTACACGATAATAAAATTCCTCGATGAAGCGAATAGCGTACAATCTGATAACAATGATATGACTTTGACATGGTAGAGTACTCAATTAGAAATTACTCCATTACTCGAAATTACTATAATAATATGTATATAATAGTATATTAATATTATTAGTCGATAATAAAATTCCTCGATGAAATTAATAGCGCAAATTTTCATAACAATGGTAGGACTTCGACATGGTGGAGTACTCAATTAAAAATTACTCCATTATTCATAAGAAAGTGCAATAAGAGGATAAAAAGGAAAGAACGAGTGTATATCGGAAGAAGAATATATGTATGAAGGAGTGGGAAGTGAGAGAGAGTGAACACGGAGTGACTAAACAGGTAGAGAAATAAGAATAGACTAGATGAAAGGACAATAAATAAATAAATAGTATAAATACATGAAAATCAATGGCAACAAAGAAAAACCAAAGAAATGTAAGATATAAATAAAATAGTTATATTGAACCATGCTAGATTAAGTCATATCACGTTATCTTATATTATATTATATTATACTGTATATGTAGGTGTACAGAGGTACGGGTTGGTGTATGTATGGGTATGTATGTATATATGAGCGTTTGTACACACAGGACACATGTGTATGTGTGAATATATATAGGTCTTCTATGAACGAGATGAAGAATAAAAGAGAGATACAAGATAGACTTAATGTAAAACCGAGTCCATTTCCTGGCAGTATACGCTGAAATAAATAAATCTATCTATTACTCCATTATTCGATATTACTATAATAATATGTATATAACAGTATAACAATATTATTACTCGATAATAAAATTCCTCGATGAAATTAATATCGTAAAATCTCATAACAATGATAGGACTTCCACATGCTGGAGTACTCAATTAGAAATTACTCGATTACTCGATATTACTATAATAACATGTATATAACAGTATAATAATATTATTACTCGATAAAATATAGAATCCACGAAGGTAAAAGAAAAAATTGAAAGAAAAAATGTGGAGAAAATAGTAGTTCGAAGGAATGTCGTTATTCCCCGTTCTTCTGCGAAAAGATTCGTTTCAGATGGGTTACGTCGGGCTGCGGATACTCTTTATCGCGTTTTGCAATCGGAAAAATTGCGACGCAACTTCGAAGGAGGCATGCGACCAGTCGAAAGGTAATTGCGAGCACATTAGTTTGCCGCATAGGAGAGTTTCACGTGCGATCCAAAAAACCACCGGTTAAAGCTTCCACCCCTAGTTTCTCTTTCATCGTCGGAAATCAAATGCAAGGAAACCTTGCAATCGGTCACAAGTCAAGGTTACTTACTGTTATTGTTGGAACGTCGCGTACTCTCGCACACAGTGTCATTTACTTGAATGTAACCCGAATCGCATGCGCACCAACTGTTCTTGCAGACCACTCCATGCCCGTAATCCAGATAACATTCTCCAAGACTCTCGCACTCCATGCCGAGAACTGAAAGAATTCGGTTCACAGAGGTATTAGATTTTGATTAGCTTATCGTATAATTCTTATGAAGAAATACCGCGTGTCGCCTTCAATGCAAACGTTACCATTCTTCATGAAATGTCACATGCCGTTTCGTTCTTTCTGACTTTACTTTCCCTCCTACCCCCTTTCGCCTTAGCAAACGAATGTCGCAATATATACATACGTGACATGACACTTTTATTTATGTAGCCGAATGTCGTGCATAATGCGGTAAATTTTATTTCGTTACTTTTCTCGTTGTTGCTGAGTTATTTTTCTTCAAAACATTTTTCTGAATATTTTACTTTCAACGATTTATTGAATTGTGAATAGTGATTGTTGATAGTATTCTAAACTGATTTTTTATTGTAAAACTTTATTATTGAAAATCTTTGAAACTCAAAACGTCAAACATTTGCAAATAATAAAAGTCAATTTTATTTCAGAAAATAGGTTTTCCAATTTATTCGACATTTTTTTGTTCCTCTCGTTGAATACTGTGAACATTTAAAATCTTGGACGTAACTTTTTGAACACCCTGTATTGCTTGTACGATATTCATTTCACGTTTGTCCTTTTTCCTATTCGTTCAGATTTTCGCAATTAATTTACAAATATTTTTGCATTTTTATCCTTTATAACTTTTCTAAGAAATTTGTAGAATATATTTAAATAAAATAAAATGAAATGGTAGCTGGTGTTAAGAGGTTATATAATTATATAATGGAACCGTAATCGTTTGATTTTCTTTAGTTCTTCATTATATAGAGACAAATTGTTGTGAAGCTAAATAATGTCTCAGGATTCCCTGATAAGTAACCACAAAGGATCTTATGATGATATTACATTTGTCCTAACCTCATAATCAATCGATGATAAATAAAAATGATCATTTTAAATTCTTTTCGATCACTCGATGCACCGACTGTCATAGGAACTAACAATGTTAATTTTATCCATTTTTATGCAATTTTATCTATCATGCAATTTCATCTATCATTAAATCGTTGTAAAATTATTACGAATCGATATCAAAATTCTCGAATCGATAAAAAAATAATGTAAATGAAGCTTAATAGGGATTAGTTTTAATTGTAAGTGGAGAAAAATAATTAGAAAGCATAATTTAGAGGAAACTCAGAAAAACGACATAGGGAAATAATTTAGTAACAATTTTGAGAAACGATTCAGAGAAATAATTTAAAAAGAATAGAGAAAAATAAAGAGAAAAATAAAGAATATGTAAGAAATATTCGTCTAGTTTGATAGAATGAGGAAACATATTATTTTAGTATAGTACGTAACAAAAAAATAAAATCGAATCATGAATTATTACCCATGGAACGATTTTTCGGTGATACATCGTTTATGAGATCACGAAAACAAATATAAAATACAGTTCTGCGTTTGTGAATAACTTATTAACTAGCAGAAATTATCGCTTTTATCTGTCATCGACAGGTCATGTGACGTCCGAATGTTGTTCACTGTTGCTTGCTGTTCACAATCAGAACGAATTGTGGTGGGGTTAATTCTATGGAATCGTGCTATTCCTGTTCTTATTATTAAATATCTGTGTTTTCTTTCTGAAACTGGTATTTCTGAAATAAATTGTTACGGTATTTTATAATTATTTAACCTTCCATTAGCACTTTATTATACCTAACTACTATAACATCATGTGACTTTCATTGGAATTTGCATTCACATACATTTCCACTTTACTCTTTTATTTTGGTTCATTTACTCCTCATTGGATTATAAGTGTTTCGTTATTAAATAACATTTTTAGTTATTTAATTATATTTGGGCACTACCATATAGTATAATATCTAAGAATCTGACATGACATACAAGGCATATACGAACCAATTTAATTGTATATATTATCAAATTTTAGATCTCAAATTTATGTAACAAAATTGTAAACAGTTATAATTATTTCCTCTGAGAAAATTGATTAGAACGAATTAATTAAATAAAGAGGAAATCAGTGTTTGAATAATTACAATTTTTCAAATCAATTTTTGAATAAAGTACTAAACTGACGTCAGATTTTTCTTTTCACATATTTCTGAAAACGAGCAGTTGCTTTTGTCAAAATAACGTTGACTTTTATTAAATAGGAACGTAATTACCTATACATTCACCATATATCATATCTTTAATTATTATTATTTAATAATAATTTCAATTATTATTATTTAGTAATGACATTTAGATATATATTACAGATTGAAAATTCCAATAAAAATTTTTATATAGAATTTGGATCTAAAAACTTTCGATTATTTATTATATATATATATTTTATATCCTACCTTTACGTTTGAAACATTTGTTGTAATTATAATGGTAACCTATGGCACAAACGCAGGTGGAATTCGATATCGAGTCCGCCATCGTCATATTATCACGTGAACAAACTGCGTTTAGTGTCCTATTTGAACACTGAATATCTTCCTCACAAGGTTCTCCAATTGATACAACTAAAGGAACATAATTACATTTCGTGTTATTTTGTTTGTTATATAAATGCGAAATCAAATTTATTATATTTTATATTGAAAATTGTACGTTTGCTCGAATAAAACTTGGTTTCAAGAAACAAATATTCGTTATATCGCGTCATGATTGAATTTAGGAAAAATTCTGACGGGTTTTAAGTCTGTCTCACGATCTTCTATATTCCTCGCCAAATTAATATTGGACAACTGTTTCAATTAGCACGAGCAAAAGAAAGATCTCGGCTGGAATCGAACGCTAGACTCTGGTACGACGATGGGAACAGAACTCTTGGAGGTCTCGATTGGTATGCTCGAACTGTTCTCATTGAGGTTTCGTTTCGAATTTTTCTCTTCGGGGTTTCGTTGGGAAGTCTTCTCCTCGATTTTCTTAAAATCGGTCTTAGGAAAAATCGGGAGCTCGACAAATATTATTGACTGATTGGACCAAGAGGGTTCCCTTGGTCTGCAAATCGGTCACCATGAAGGAAGGGAAGGTTCTCCGAAACGAAAACGGTAGTGGAAGGAACCCTTTTCTTCAAGGTAAGGTACGTGGGGTCCACCAGCGCGCTGGTGACCCCATCAGTCGTTTATGGCCCCTCGTTAGGGCCTGAGGATCCCAACCTGTACCGACCAAGTGGAACCCTCAGGCCTATTGTCAGCCAAGTCTTAAGAGCTGTCGCCTAATTTCGTTAAATTAGGGTTTCACGGATTCTCGTGTTCCGCTATACTAGAAGTCATAACAAAAGAAAAAGTTTTCAAACCTGCAGAAGGCATGGATAGGAAAATTCCGATGCCGAATTGTTTTGACCCTAAATACCTGGCTGTTGGAAGACCGTAACGGTGTCATCCTTGTTCCACGACGTAATAGTTATAAACAAAAATCAGTCTAGGATATAAGATACGAATAAATAGTTTATAAGCGTCACCCTGCATCCAGAGCCTATAAAAACCTAGCTGAAGGGTTCGACGGCTCACACTTTTTGACAGTCCACCGTCTGCACCACGCATCATAGAAGACTTCGAGCCTCCGTTTATTTTGTTCCACCAAGAAATATAAAATATAATCAGAATCAAAAGCCCCTTTTGATTTATTAACACTAGAACTACCGATCTTCAATGGGTGCCTAACTATAACGTGCACAGATTATAGTAATTTCAGCGGTACGATGAATACGAGTGAATATATCGATTACAGTTCTTTCTTAATACGAGTTGATACCAATTTTATTCTTAAAGCAGGTGTATGTGTTCGGTGATTGCAAAAAGGAAAATTCTGGGACCAGTCATTTTCACTGGGATGGTAGTTCCAGTGTTAATTCGATCATACCACAGTTGGAACGCGGATGAAGAATATTATAGATCAATTAATCCTTTTAATATCGTTGAAAAGATAAGTTTAGTTGTGAACAAAAATCTGTCTAGAATGTAAGGCGTGAATAAATAGTTTATAAGAAGTCTTAATAAAAATTAAAGTTTTCAAACATGCAGAAGGCATGGATAGGAAAATTCCGATGCCGAATTGTTTTGACTCTAAATACCTGGCTGTTGGAAGACCGTAAAGGTGTCTTTCTTGTTCCCCGACGGAACACGTTATGTATTTTCTAATTTTAACGAATAGAATTTTACCTGGCAGACAAATGGTAATTGACGGGGCAACATAATCCTGTTTACAAGTGCATCGGTTCGATTCACATTTTGAGTTTTCTGGGTCACAGTCTTCGTCCCGGGTGCAATTAGCGTTGATACCTACAAAATAAATAATTTTAATGAAATATTGGCTTCGTTGTATAATAAAATGTATAATAATGTGTAATAATATGTAAAATAATACGTATAATATTTATATGTAACTGTTTTGCATAATTATGTATAATAATCTGTTTCATAGTATGAAATAATGTGTTTGAAAGTAAAACGATTGAAAATGAAAATTACCTGGTACACATTTTTTGTTTAACTCGTAATAATTATTTACACAAGCACAAATTTCGTTTATACATTCTGCATCCTTCGTAACACAATCTTTATCTACTTCACACCTTTCTCCAATTTCTGTAATTAAATTGTGTATATGTTTAATATCAACGTGGATGGAAAATATTTTGTTATATAATGATAAATTTTCTTTAGAATGAATTGTATTCTAAGAAAAATGGTTCCCTTACGTAAAATAAATAAAATAAAGTAAAATAAATTGAGAACCGTTTAATGAATATTATATCTAACATGATTTATAATTAGATAAATATTTTATTGTTATCACTGTTTCTTACTATCAAAATATTTTGTTATGGACAATCTATACTTCATGTGGAGAAATCAAAGTATACCAAAAACTTTTTAAGAGTAAGGTATACAAAATGAGAATATAATCAAATAATGTTTTTATTACTCGCAATATTGCTAACACAAAAATAATTTACTACAATCAAAATGCGATACATTATTGTATTTTCTTACTTTTCAAATTTCATTTATTTAACAAAACATGTATTTTCAATATTATGTCCATACGACATTTTTTATTTCCTATATAGAAAGTAAATTCTCTTTGCTCAATTAGAAAAATGTATCTTTTAGATAATAAATAAGTTCGATATTTTATCAAAAATAAAGTGTATCAAAATATTTCTCAAACTTTAACACGTACATTTTATAAACATTCAATTAACTAATGTACAGTAATAAGGTTACAAAGTCCATTTTATCAATAATATTCTATTAAAAGATATCAGGCAGGAATGTTAATATTTTAAATATCACTTTAAATAAATAATTAATTATTGACTTAAAAATAAGTAATTGAATACAATAAACAATAAATAATTAATTCGTCATTTAAATGAATAATTATTTCAAATAGCAATCATATTATTTTAATTAATTTCTATAGTGACATCTAGTTCATGTAAACTTTGATGAAAAATGTATCTTACCAGCTGCTGTGTTCACGCAAGCTGTGCGATTGATATTTGGATGAGTTCCTTCTGGGCAGGAGCACGATTTATTCACGCAAGATAACTCGGCTTGCATGCCATCAACGTAGCAATCTGTATCTTGCTGACACGTTTCACCTACTCCTCGTTTTGTCCAACAAAACAACTCGGTCTCGTTATACCGGGAATTCTCATTGCAAACGCATTTGTTTCCTTTACAAATAGCATCCGGCCCGAAAATGTAACATTGCATATCGGATCGACAAAAATCATTGTACCTTCTTATCGCTGAAACGAGCAGAATATATCACTGTTTTCGAATAAATAGATAAGCGAAATGAAAAGAAACGTATAAGAGGAAAATTACAAACAACTTTACAATGCCTACCCTTTACGCATTCTCTGTTATCAGTGGTAGCAGCTCTATAATGTTCGCAATTCCATCTGCCGTTTTGACATGTCGAATATTCGATAACAGCATCTTCCTTCCCAGCCACGCACGGCTCTCCAAGTTCTAGATGAATATTTACGTATGAAAATACGTTCAGTTTAATTATTGCTTAATTAAAGCAGAAATCGTCGAAGAATTATAAAAGATATTGAAATTATAAAATTGGAAACGAAAAATATAATTAATATTATCGGTCAATTGTTCATATGTGTGCGTGTGTGTACTCTTTCATATGACAGTTTCTTATATGACCTTTTTGCAATTATTATTGTTTGCAAAGTTATGATTTGAATATTTAATTTAATTTAATTAATTCATCTTGAAAGAACACTTTGGACGATTGGTAAAAAATTTATAAAAAGTTTCTTCTTATTTTTTAGTCTCCTCATTTATATTTGTTTATTTCTAAATTTTATCAGTCATTAAGGTTTATTCAGAATAGTTAGTAAAATAGTTTGTATTCGCGTTATTGTAATCAGTTCTTACATTCCAAAATTCAACGATTTATTAATTTATAATAATTGTTCGATATTGCTATATCTGCCTCTAATTTTCAAGAAATTGTTAATATATTATAGTAATATGTTAATGCTTCAATATTGATAACATAGCATACTGATATTGTAATGTTAATAATAATAACGTAATTTGCTATAAAATACACGTATATGTGTGTCTGTATACATATATGTATATACATATGTGTATTAAATATGTGCTATACAATAAATACAAATCACGAAATCAAAAATAATATAACTTTATAATATATAATTTTTATATTCTTTTTAATATTAGGTTGAAATTAATTAATATTGACTAGCAAAATAAAAATTAAACAATGTGATTAAAAAATTAATCAAACTATTATGCATTGTACGTATGTTCACATTTCTCTACCATTTTACTTTGAAAAATAATTACTACAAAATCGCTTTATTAACAATATTTGACGTTTATTATAAATAGTAATATCTATACCTTATCTACCTTATCTATACCTTATCGATTTAATTTAGCTAATGACTTTACCTGGGATAAGTAATTCATTACAAACATTCAGTAATAGAATAACAGATTTACTAATTAACCGAACTAATTTTGCAATACTTGTGGTAGACAGATCAATAAATTTTAAATACATTTATAGTATTTAACATAAACGATATCTTTACCTGGAACACATTTGTTCACATTTTGAACAAAGAAGTATGCACGTTTGCAGATACAGGTTCCCAAGGGACCACAAGTAGCGTTTCCAAAATTTTCACAATCTGTGTCCACTGTGCAATTACTGAGAATAGTAACTGCTACTAAAAATAGAACACATTTTCACCATGTTTTTAATTTTATATTCACGAATCGATACAAAATATATTTACAAACCTGGTTTGCTTGCATCAGCTTCTCGAAGAGTGTCATCATTATGCAAGAAGTTTAACGTACTATTGCTTATCAGTAAAACGCACGTGTTGTCTATGTTGCAATATGCATCCTTCTTGAATCGCGTACAATCGTTATCTATGGCACATTTTTCGCCAACTGTGCAACACAAATGATGGAATAACTTGTGATTACAATTATTAAGTGCGATGAGAACAATGAAAATTCATAAATATACATTTCACAATGTATTCGCTTATATACATTTTATATCTTTTATGTACACCCAATTCTGTTTTTACACGAACTTCTTTTACACGATTTTGATTTAACACGAATTAGGAAAAAAATTTAATTCTCTTTTTACACGACTTATTTTGATTTAACACGATCGACCCAAATTTTTGGCCTAGCCAAAACGCAAACACAACGATTAATTACCGAATTCGTTCTTAAATCCACTGAAACATCGGCACCACAGGAGGCTAGTCCTAATTTTGTTCGAGAGATTACAGAAAGAATTTCACCAATGGAGTACGAAGACGGTAACCAAGACATTTCTAGCGATAGCAGTAATATTGCAGTCTTACGCAAACGTATGCGTTTATTGTCAGAAAGTGACAACGAATAAAATCTTTTTACGTGTAACTCATATTATCTTGCCTAATTTTTGTGTTCATGAATTAGTGACATGTTTCTTTCCTTTTCAAATGATAATTTACTTTGTACGATACACGTGCAATCTTTATGAAATAAAATGTTTAAGATCCTAACATGAAAATTCATGGTTTATTGTATTATTTTTGCTGATTTCTTAGGACTGGAATCAATCTTCTATTTTTCCATAGATGCGATATATTCTTTTACACGAATTTTTTTTGCACGTATTCTTCGGGAACGTATCTATCGTGTAAAAACAGAATTAGGTGTATTTATGTTAAGTACATATTCACATTTTATATCTTTTAATTATTTATGTCAAGCTTTGTCGAAATAGGATTTCTCATTTCTATCATCCGATGATGCTTTTCTGAGCAAACTATTTATCATAAAAATGAACATGCGCTTATTATTATCGCTAAAGTTTATTATAGTTAACTTTATTTAGAGAAATCGTGATAACCTTAATAAAAGAGTTGTGATTATTCCATAGCAATATTTAAATAGAAACATCTAAAATAATAATATTGTGATACGATTTAATGCCTCTTTATTAATACCATTTAATACTCCTTCGCGAAGAATGCAAGTTGCGTTAATGTATTAAAAGACGCAATTCTGTTACAGAAAAACATAAACGAAAATTAAATACGCCATTTTGTGTCACCTATAAAACCATTTAATTATTGATCAAGTTATTTTGTTATATTAGTAATTTACGAATTATTCGCGACAATCGATTAAAATTGGACACCCTGTATATGTCAATTTTATATTCAACACTTGTCACAATTGTTTCTTTATATAATTACTTATTTACGAATAATTCGTATTTATCGATTTAAATGAGGCATTCGTAAAAGTTTCTTAATCTTTTCATCCTAAAAGGGTCATATAGCTTTTGACTATTTTGTGACATTTATTGATGTAATATGACCTGAGAATATACGTGAAGTATTACTCGCTCATATTGGTAAAGTTAACCCTTTGCATTCGACGATTTTTTGGTTAAAGAAGGGTACAAGTTGAAAAATTTTCTGCTATAAAGCTGATGATATTTCTTGAGCAGCAAATAACAAATTGTGTAATAATTAACACGTAGAATTATTTAATTTCGATACCTCACACACTGTTATATTATTTAAAATTTGATATATTAATTAATATAGAGCTTCGAAATTTTATAAAATGGCGACTGAAGGGCGCCTCTCAGTCGCCATTTAATCACATTCTAAACATCGATGTTAATTATTGTTTCGAAATTTTATAAAATGGCGACTGAAGGGCGCCTCTCAGTCGCCATTTAATCACATTCTAAAGATCGATGTTAATTATTGTATCAAATTTAAAATTACTCAACGATGCGTGGAATGTCGAGGTAAAATAATTCCACTTCTTAATTTGCATACGATTTCTTATTTACCGTTTTAAAAATATCCGAGACTTTATGGCAAGAGGTCTTCGAATTACTATTTTTCATCAACGAAAGAACCGCCGAGTGCAAAAGGTTAAAGGATCTTTCACAGTAGAATTTCTTTGACATTTTAACGATGTCATTCTTTCACGAGTTATTTAAAAAGAATGAGCATAATTGGAAAGAAATTGTGATATTTTTAGAGACTCTGACAATCAATATTATCCATTGTACAAATATAGTTGAGTTAGATATTTTTCGATTCTTATAAGTCACCTTTGTTCGAGGCTCACACGTGTCTTTCGAAAACAGGAAGTAAAATTTTGAAGCGAGATAAATGAAGCGATATCGTTGTAAATAAATTCATATATGAATACACACATTAGGAGATTATATATAATATTTTATCCATTAGTCATTTTGATTATTTTATTATAAGATTTAATTATTTTATGTCTCGAATTCACACAATTCCATTTGAACCAGAAAAGAAAATTTGGTGATGCATACTTAAGTGACGATTATCAATGGGACCTAAGTTATTTAAGTACTTTTTTTTCGAAATATTAAATCAAATATTTATTCGTCAAATACAACCAATCAATTTTCCGCTATTTTTATAAACATTGTTTTATTTTATTCTAATTCTTGTGACTTGTAATTACAATTCTTATGACTTGTAATTGGACTTGCAAGTGCTAGATCACTTTCATAATTATCATCACGGCTAATTTAACATGACGTTAAAAAATGAAACATACGTTATTATATTATAATACCAAAATTATCAAACGAAAAATTTCTTTTCTCGTCAGAAAATAATTTGGAAAGAATAATTTACAAATATATTATTTAATACTTAGTCAGAATGATTTTTATCTGATGTTTCAGTTTGTACACATATTCAATGAAAACATAATTATAACGTTAATGTACACAATGTATGTACACAAGCAGTTAATACTAAAATTTTTCAATTCCCTCTACCAATTAAGAGATTTAATTAATTAAATAAAAGAAAAAAGAGACTCCTTATGATCAGAGATAATAAATAACATGGAATCACTTCCATTAAGTTCGAAAAGGATTTCGAATTGAAAAAAGAAATAGCGAATTAAAATTAAAAGTAAAAATTCACTTCATTTGAAGAATAGCATATTAAATAATTCTCGTATTTTAATAAATTAATTAATTTCGATTTAATTTCCGAATATCGCAATAAAAATGTACGCAACGAGATAAAACATAAATTCCCAATAATCTTTACGAGTTTTCATCGACTAACAAGTTGTAAGTCGATTGATGAATATATTTCAGGCTCGTAAAAAGAAATTGCCCATCTTATGTAAGTAAATACTTACGTTTTGCTTCTGGTCGACATGTTCTATATTCTCTCTGATAGTAACCCGGACTACATTTGCAAATTTTATTTTTCTGGTCGCAGGATGTTGCTTCGAAGTCGCCATTTACGTAGCAGTCGTCGTCCTTGTGGCATTTGCCGAATAATCCTGTCAAGGTACGTGTAATGAAAAATCGACTATCGATTAATGAGTCGATATTTACGCAATGTTGCTAAGCGCACGATGTACCTGAATATGCAATACACCTTCCGTGCATGTAATAATATCCTTTGGCACATACGCAAATGCCATTCGTGCAAATTCCACCGCTGAATAAATACCTGGAGCACTGTGCCGATTCTTCGCAACTGTCACCATACGTGGTAGCAACTGCGAATGACGGAAAAGTAAGCATACAAATTTGATAACGCAGAAAAAAAGATAATACATTGTTCCGTGTAAATAATCGATTGCATATAAATATTTCATCCGAATAATCGATAAATAATCGAAGACTAATCAATTGATAATCAATGAAGAATAAAGCAACAACGAATACATAATGGATGAATAATCAATCATTTCGCCTGAGCAATTAATTACGTAGAAACATTTCACCTGAACAATCATTGAGAGATGAATAGATAACGGACAATCAATGGAAAAGAAAATTGAATAGTAATGGCAATAGTAAATAAACGTTTTCCTGTAAATAATTAATTACAAATGTTACTTCATTAAATAAGAAATGGATAATTAATTAGTTAATCTAAGCAAATAATTAGATATGACTATCCCCTGAGTATTGGTTTTATGAGAGTGTGAGTGTTGATTTTATATGTGTGAATGGTACTGAGGTAGAATAAATGAAAGTCATTTAGGATGATATAAATATAATATGTGCGAGTGGAATCTAGTGTGAATGTTGTTAAAAAATGTTGAGAAGAATGTGCCAGAATGAAATAGTTACGTGAGAATCGTCAAATAGTGAACATTTGTTAATAAGAGTGAGAGAAAAGTGAGAGATAGAAAAGAATTTTCTAGATAGTGTGAACCTTTTTGTTTAAAATATTGTATTTCGAATTGATGTCAATGTTTAAATATTATTATACAAGCATATTAATTTGTTAACTGTAAAAAACGTACAAGGAATTGGTTTCCATTTCTATCCACATACTCCATTTAAATAATTAAAAGAATTGTTCAATAATATAACAATAACAGCAACGATAACAGTAATAATAACTAATTGCATGTAATTCACTATTAATTAATCAAACAACAGATAGGCAATTAGTAAACAATGAATTACACGTAAATATTCGATTTAAATGATTGGTAAATGACACATATGTATATAATTTACTAATAACCAATATATAAAAGCAGGAATAATAACAATATTATTTAGAAATATATAAATAAATTACTTTCTCTAAACGATCATTGCACGTCGTTGATTGTTAATTAATTAAATGACTAGTAAATAGTCAGTACAAGATTGATGTTTACTTAATTAACATTAAATTAATAAATAGTGGACAATCAATAGAGAATCAATAAACAATTAATGAATAATCAACGAATGACCAATAGATAATCAATATAAATCTAATGAACGATCAGTGTACAAGAAATAAATAACAAATCATTTCGTTTAAATGCATTTAGCATGTCAAATATTCCTTTGCGTTATAATGAACGTTTGATCATAAACGAACGTTCTTAGCGGTTTACCTTTAATACACGTCGTCATGGCTCCATTGTAAATCTGACCAGCAGGACATTGGCATGTGCCATTGACACAACTAGTGGCAGCCACGGTACAATCAGAACCATTTTCACATTTCCAGCCAATATCCTCATCTAATAACACTTCGACACCAACAGCGTGTCCTTCTTGCGCTTTCCCGCCGAGTGCCAAACCTGTAATTATTTATTTCGAAACAATAATTGGTTGAAAATTGCATCGTGATCGTTAAATAGTAATGTATGTCAACGGAGATAATCGAAAATAAAAATCAAGATAAGAAACGTATTTTTAGATAATTTTAAATTGACTCGCTTTATTGAATATACATTAAGAAATGTGAATCTTACGTGTAATATTTTAAAATTATTATTGTTATGGTAACATGAATTACAAGTATGGAAATTTATAAATTTATGTGAGCTTTGTAAATAATTTTGTTAAATTATTGTAATAAAATATGTGAGGAGTATTAACTGTAGTTTAATTACAAAACTCATATTATTGAAAACATATATATGATTGCGTGCGCACTCAATTATGAAATATATTATGTAATTGCATGTGTCATACGTATACAAAAATATACTTTTTTATGATAAATAAACTATCTACGCTGTTTGTTAGAAGTATTTAAGAAAGCTGCACTGATTATTAGAAATATCTGAAAAGTACACGAGTAATCTGTAAATTATTATTGAGAATGAAATTAAATATTTAACATTGTTTTAGGTACAAACTCAGATTTATATCGTGTTAAAAATAAATTCACAGGAAAATTACTATAGAAATTAAACTGAAAATTCCTTATTCAGTTAATTTGGCTAAAAGGAGCAACACACGTGAAAAAACTATTGAAAATCTTGTGCAATATGACGGATTAGAATGGGTATTTTATATTTAAATAGACGTTAAATGAATTATAAATAATTAACGAGAATTGTCAAATATTACAGATAGGATTTTCCACATTCACGTATGTGACAAAATGCATAATTCCATGTCACCAAAGTTGATCGAAGGAAGAAAATGATAATAAATGTAACTGATACGAGCATGATAGAAATGTAATAAGAAATTACATTTTTATTGAAGAAAAAATGATCAATGTATACGAAAATATTTTACGAAGATTCGATGTAATATAAAAATTTTTGTAAATTCTTACCATTATGTAAAATACATTGAAAGCAAAGCAGCAGACAAAGCCCGATATTTCGAACACGTAACATGTTTGGAACACCTGTGTCTAACTGAAACACACGAATTTCTGGTGTGCTGATCGACCACGACTTTTATCAAGGTAACCATATCTGATAGAAAATGAACACCTGCATTGCTATCGAGAAATGTATTAAATTATCTAAGGACAGAATTTACTCGTAGTCATGTAGTTTATTGTTTTCTAAGTGCCGAAGAAAGAAACAACTCCATACGTTTCCACGTGAAACCATCACACGGTATTAAATGATTTTTTCTTTTTCTAATACGTTATCCTCTAATTAATAAAAGAGAATATTTACAACAAAAGTTCATCGTGGAATTTTTTAACATTTTTTTCTTACATAAAATATTATAAATAATATAAAATAAATTAATATCGATATATTTACATGTAAAATGTTAGAAAACTCTTTTATTTATTTCTTGATTTCTCGATTTTGAAATATTTTCGTTTGATTACTTTTTTCTAATTATATTGCATTGACAATCAAAGCATATGCGCAGTTGTCTTATGTAACCCACAAAGATAATGTTTCATTTTTAATTCTTGTTTTGCAGAACAGGATAGCGATGATTAATACAAAGTGAAAAAGAAATATACTAATTGCATCTAATTCGTTTTTTCACTATAGTTTTTCATACGATTTTAAACGTATTCGTAGTTTATTCATAGTTACACGATTTTCTTAAACATTTCTTAAAATATTTAAAAAATTCTTTATTGCATTCATACTGTGTTTATTTGATAATCATATATACCGTCATGCACTATAATTGCTAAATAAAATACATAGGTGAATTCATTTCTATGTTTCACGTTGCTATTGTATAGTTTGCGTCTTTCAAAACAAGCTTGATATATTTCAGAACTCATTCCAACACCAATAGATTGTACTCACAAATCGGGAATGATAATATGTATTATGTGTAATGCTAGGTCCGTATTCCACGACAAATGCATGAAAACATTTTAGACCATAACGTGCCAATGTATATAAAAGATTGCATAATTAGGGTGCTTTATTATTCCTAATAGATTAGGTATTTATTTACCAGAAAGAAATAAAATCAGTTATTAAATTAAAAAATAAAACATCAACTTTGAAAAATAATTTTCTGCACGCGATCCAATAACACTCGAATAACGTTTCATAAAATCGTTAAATTACGAGCAAACAGAACGGCCTCGAATTATATGACACATGCTTACTACGTTAATTTAGTTTCGCAATGAAATTGCTAATGTGCAATTCTAGAAGCGAAATTCAGATTTAGTCTATACTGTAAGTCACGATCGGCTATGTCGAACTTCATTACTTTCGCTAAAATTACTAGAACTGTTAAAACCAGAGATCGTAACAATAATTAAATAACAAAATTGAAAAATAATAGTCGTATAAGAAACATTTTTCTTCGCATGATTTTAGTTACAGATAATCGTTACGAGTGATTAAAATTTCTGATTACCGGTAATCATCATAGATGACTAGGCATATTGTACAGATAACTCGATACATTATAGATCACTGCATAATCGTTATTCCCAATGAAATACCAAAATCCATCCTTCTCAAAAATATTATTAAATTATGAAATTATCAAAATGTATTAAATTTGAATTAAAATTAGCACTCTGAAGAGACCATAATACAAAATTTCTCTTGAAAAAACGCATAATCAGCTCTTCAAATTAAAAAATTTCGAAATTTTACGATATTTCGAGTTCGAGTTTTCAAAAAATTTAAGAATTAGCATTTACTTTTAATCTTCCTTTATTAATTTATGAATAATTTATTATTACCTTTCTTTTATTAAGTTAAAGAATTACATTATCGAACTCATAACGTCTTCAAGATCACAATTAGCTTCCCGAAGAGCCTCGAAATTTCCAATTAACATTATATTCTCGAATATGTTTTACATAACACATGTGGAAATTGCAAGACACTTACGCATGCAGCTGTTCGAAAATGTTATACTACATTCTGCGCAAAAATGTTGTATTACGTAATTTTTACCATGTCTTCCTTCCACGTGTACCTGAGATTTATTTAGCTATTTTATTCGTTGGATTCTAACGGAGAATGCGTTTCGTAATGAAATTTAAGGAAACGTAGATCCGACAAAACAATGAACAAAACGAGCAGGTTTCTTTGTTAACAACGAGCATGAAACGATGGAGCTCGACCCGTGGAAGATATAGTTTGACCTGTGGACATCTTCCTCGTAGAACAGAGCTTGTGGTAGGAGAACAACTTTTATCGTATATGCGACCTTTTATTTCTCTTTATGCTAAACTTTGCCAGGTCGAGGTTAATTTGTATATTTGCGTTTACCATTTAATGTTCTTTCTTCCTCAATAAAGCTAGTTTGTAACTGATCGTTCATCATGAAGGAAGGCTGGAGTATAGTTAACAGTGAGTACATTTCTTCTCTATATACTGTTTTTATCATTCATTTAGGCACCAATTTTCAAATGCGTATTACGCGCGTATATAATTGTGTGCGATGTATATTTATATACACACGAACACGCATATGTAAAATGTATATATATACACATATGTGTATTTTATATTACATAGAACTTCATTTTTCGATCGATTCTTCCTATTTTCGTACACGAATGAATGTCAACGTGTGTAGAAACGTACGTGGATGTCTATATGTTCGACACTTGATTGACAGTGAAAACAAATCATTTTTGAAATTTGAAAATATCCACGAAAAATATTCTGCGTAAAGTATCTACGTTTCTATAGGAAACTGTAAAATATTCCGTGTAAAACGTTTGTTGAAATATTGAAATATTTTTAATGTAAATTTTAGAATATTCGTGTAACGATAACTTACTTTTTGATCAAATGAAAAATATTATGGTAATGTTTGTAGATGTAAATAATGCAAACGAACAAGTAGGAAAATCGATCGAATGTTAAGAATGCTTAATCGAAGACTCATTTCAACTTCTTACGTAAATTTCAACTTGAACTCACATATCATGTTGTCAAATGAGCACTATCACAGAAGCTACATTTTTTTCCTTTGTTTACAAGAAAGAAATATTAGTTTCCATCAAAATTATTAATAGCTGAGTTTATAACCGTATTTTTCTTTAATTCGTATTTTCGTATTAATTTACTAGAAAATCAGTGTTAAAAGTATTAATGGGTATATGACACTGAAGAAAATTGAAATAAAATATACATTTGGAATAGAAACAGAGTTAATAATATCAATAATATAAGAATTTTTTTAAATTGTACACAATGAGTCCTGTCATTTTATAGAATATTTGTTCTGTTAATACTGATTGTTGTTAATTTACAATTCGATTTCTTTTTCATTTCCAAAACCGGTATTAATAATGTAAATAGAAATATGATTCTAAAAATATTAATTCGAAACAAGGGTGAAAATAATTGAAGGAGTATAAATATACGTCAGGTGCATGTTGTCATCGTAACTAATGATTATTGTCGTTAATTTACAATTCGATGATTGATCGCAGAGAAGGTTTCAAGTTTGGAGGAAGGGCTAATCAGTACCGAAGAAATTCCATGCGCGAAACACGTGAGACCGAACAAAAAATGGAAACAATTAATACAATGCGTGAAATTAATCCTATACTTGGAACTGGTATTGTTCGTTGGATGGTTATGTTACGCGATGTGGCAAACTTATCGTACCGAATCGATTCAAGCCAAGGTTATGGACAATATCGGAAAAGTGGAGTCCGAAGCTCTATTCGAGCATTCGGCATACGAAAGGACAACAAATTCGTATGATTATTCTTATCAAGTGGACAACATCTTGATGAAAAATCTGTTGCTAGATGACCTCGTGGTGTCGAAAGAAAGCTCAAAAATGAGAAAGAACGAGCCCGATAACAGAGAATCTGACGTCACTACTAGTACAATGAAAACTAATTTGCAAAACGAGGAAGAAGAGCAAACGAACGATGAGCAAGAGAGGAACAAAGAACGAGAAAAGAACGTAGGGCAAGAAGAAGAAAACGAAGAACAAGAAGAAAAGTACGTAGAACGAGCAGAGAACGAAGAGCAGGCTGAGAAGAAGGAGGAACAAGAAGAAAAGAACGTAGGGCAAGAAGAAGAAAACGAAGAACAAGAAGAAAAGTACGTAGAACGAGCAGAGAACGAAGAGCAGGCTGAAAAGAAGGAGGAACAAGAAGAAGAGAACGAAAAACAAGAAGAAGAGAACGAGGAACAAGAAGAAGAGAACGAGGAACAAGAAGAAACGAATGAAGGACAAACAAAGGAGGAAGAACAAGAAGAAGGAAGAAATGAAGAGCAAGAAGAGTGGTACGAAACCCAAGAAGAAAAGAATGAAGACCAAGAAGAAAAGAATGAAGAAGAAATAAAGTACGAAGAACGAGGGGAAAAGAATGAGGAACAAATAAAGGACGAAGAGAAAGAAGAAGAGGCCGAAGAACAGGTAAAGGACCCAGAGCAAGAAGAAAGGTTCGAAGGACAAGAAGTAAGAGAAAACTCGGAGCAAGAAGAAAAGTACGAAGAACAGGAAAAAGGAAAGAGCGAAGCACACGAAGAAACTTCGGAATCTTATAGTATAAGCAGTGGATGGGATGAAGATGCTTCAGAATTGTGGCATTCGCCGGCAGTAATTGAATGGAGACCAATTGAATCAGGGGAAACGCAAGACTACTTCAAGAGCTCGGAATCGCAAGAAACGGAATACACGAAAGAGGAGAAATTGGAGAACTATTTACTTTTCTCGTTGATGCTGGAGAATGCTATGAGAGATCCCGAAGCTGAGGAAGGTGTCGTCGTTGACGGACACGAATGGCAAGATGACACGACATCGTCTAGTGAACGACGCGCAGAAGAATCCACGAATGAAAATGAGGAGCCGGAGGTGGCCGTGGACTTTGACAAGGTGGATGAAAAATCTAACGAAACGTCAACTGCCAAATGTTCCGGTGACAATGAAAACGTGAGTCTTGGCCTAGATGTCCTTGAAGATGAGCATAAAGAAGCAAAATCGTCGGTGGACGCTAATCAGAACTCGAAGGTTGAGGAAAGTACACCTGAAAGTACACCTGAACATGTCGTGCAACATTCAGAAGAGGAATATTATGATGGGATTTCAGGAATTGAAGATTCTGATTGGAATCCCGAATTTGATTTATCGGATTATGACATGGGTCATGAAATAGTCTGGCACCCGCCCGAATTAGACATGACGTGGCAACATGGAACATTATCTCCGCTACCACCGCCATATTTTCCCAGGGGATGTGAGAACGTTTAGTATGTATCATTTTTATGTTATTACAAAATATTTAAATAATAATATTTAATGTTTCATAACTTTAGTAACGTATATTAAATAATAAAATAGCGAAATCAAATTGGACATAAATCTATTTAAATATTAACCCTTTGCACTCGAGAGGCGCCCTTCAGTCACCATTTGATAAAATTTCGAAGCTCGATATTAATTAATATATCAAATTTAAAATAATGCAACAATGTGCAAGGTATCGAAATGAAATAATTCTACGTGTCAATTATTATACGATTTCTTGTTTACTACTCAACAAATTTCATCAACTTTATAGCAGAAAATTTGTCATCTGGTACCTCTCTTTAGCCAAAAAATCGTCGAACGCAAAGGGTTAAATATCGTTATGGGATATCTGCACGTTACGTAGTATATCTTTACATATTTTTCTACAAATTTTTCTATACTATATATAGATTTTTAATGTATTATATTTTACAGTACTAGATCTTTCCCGACAGTTCTTGGATCAATTTATTGTTTCAATCGTATGCGACTGATGAAACGCAGCAATGTCGAATCAGCGGATACGAACCAAGATCACGAGGAAGTACATATGGACAACGGGGAAGAAGCATCCAGTGACCATATAGCGCCACAACTTTTGAAGGAGAAGATTCAAAATGACGTTATAAGTGGGTCCATACACAGAGTTGCACGAGACATTTCTAAAAATCCAATTAACGAAGGTAAATTGAATAACATTTAGATGACTTTGATATTGTTAAAGACAGCATAGATAATAAGTAGAAAATGTAAAAGTAGTTATTTATGTGATTACTATATGATTATCGTTATGTATGTACCGTTGTAATGTATATCGTATATATGTATACACGTTATAAAACTTTTTGATGTTAGCCTTACGAAGGTTCTAGGGTAAGTGCTATGAGCTCATAGTCGTCTTACCGGAAGATCTCGTCACCTTTCCAACTCCTTCGCCAGATCATCTGAGAACAAAGTCTTGTTCTTTAGGCAGAGCAATGTCGGGCTGCTTGCCATCCCTATAAACATTCCCATTTACTCTTTCGAACAATCCGTCTCTTGACACCCGATAGCCAGGCCACAGCGAGTAGCCGGACATCTTACAACTCGTTAGCTTAGGTTCTGTAAAGCCTAAGTTCTGTAAATAAAGACTCGATATAAACACTCTGCAAAACCTCACGCAGACCAAGTCTCTGCCATAAATCGTGCACGAGCAAAATAGCGACGGGCTAACTGCCTATGACGATTATACAGTTGTCGGTATGAGAACCTATGAAATGCGATGGAAGAAAATTGTAAAGACACGTTTTAATGACAATGAAACCGTGAATGTTGATCGAAATGTGCTTGAAGACAAGCAGGAAGAAGTAGAACCGTCGATGGACGGTAATGAACCTGATATGAGAAATCAGGAAGAGGATCACTGTAGTAAACAAGCTGAAAGAGACAGTAGCGAGGATTCAGAATTTTCTGATTTACCGTATGCGTATGTGAACTTCACGTTATCAATGAGTATGAATACAATGAATATATATTTTTATATATTATTATACGATATCTAAATAATGTCCAGTGTTTCATAATTTTAGTGACATATGTTGAATACTAAAATACCAAAATATGGATATCAAATGTCAAATTACAATATTTAGTAATATGATAATTATCGTTGTATAATAGTACCATATAACATTATTATATTATTGTAATATAATACGATGATATAATAATTTCATTGATTTACCGTATGCGTATGTGAACTTCACGTTAACAATGAGTATGAATACAATAAATACATATTTTTATATATTATTATACGATGTCTAAATAATGTTCAGTGTTTTATAATTTTAGTGATATGTGTTGAATACTAAAATACCCAAATATGAATATCAAATGTCAAATTATAATATTTAGTAATATGATAATTATTGTTATACAATAGTACTATGTAACATTATTATATTATTGTAATATAATACAATGATATAATAATTTAATATTATTGTAACATTATAAAATATGTTGCATTATTCATCTTCCCCGACTGTTGTGAGTTCATCGTCTTAAATATTATCAAATATTACTATATTATAATTACGCATTGCCTGATAACTTCTAAATTATCATATCATAAAAGAGCGTTGATATCTTCCTATTTTAATATTTTTTTATTTTGATATTTATTTTGTGGATAATATTTCACTATTTCGATATTCATCGAGCTGTTTAATATTTTACTGTTCACGTAATCGTTTTGAAATTGATACTTCCCTGTTTTAATATTTACATCGTATTAATTTTTGTCCATAATGATAGGTAATTTATTATTCATAATTTATATTGTCATTTACTGCCCATTGACCGGTACTTCATATAAATATCCTACCACTAGTATTTGCCTTTTTCTATAGTATCGGAATCATCCTACTTGTCAACTTTTATTTCAGATACATCGGTTAACACGAATGACATGAAGTTTGTCCCCGAGTGGCATAACGTTAATGACAAAACAGAGTACAACGGTAATGACGAAATGCTGAAAGACGAATTTGACCAATTGTCTCAGAGGCTGATGTTGCTAGCACAGCACATCGATAAACTGCAAAACCAGTTTCTACGTTGCAACCACCTCACCGACGATTACGTGTCCAAAGAAATTGCATCGTAATATTTAGACGAACAGTGACGTAGCTAGGGTTTCCTCCGCCCCCTTGCAATACTCGAAAACACGCATTGAAGAGCAAAATCGTGACGATTATTACGTTGCCAATTTAATTGGCAAAACGTATAATTGTAAAAAGGACGTATTTAAAAACCTCTTTTGAAGTGGACGTGTAAAGATACTCAAATTTTTGAACCGTTTTCTAGATGACTTAAAATTTGCTCGTAATTAATATTTCTATCTGGTGATAGAGTCTAAATAATTAAATTTGTATTAATTATTTAGACATTATGCGACGTAATATTTATAAATCAGAATAATTAGAATGTACGTGATTGAATAACAAATTTATACGATATGACATGTTTTAAAATTGAAGAGTTAAGGGAGGAAGCTAGGAATTACATGAACTTTGTTACAATTGTCGCAATTTCGAATTTAACATTATCATTCATAGCCTAAAGTTTGTAAGCTTATTTAGTAGATCAGAAAATGAAAAGTATAGTTTTAATTACTATAGTTCTAACGACCACTGAAAAAATGTATGTGCATCTGAAATCGCCTGTTTCTCCCCTTTACCTTTCAATTATTCTCGCTAGAGGTTATAGAGGCTGATCGTTCGCATCTGAATCTTTGGTTGTTAAAACTAGTTGTGAATCGTACAATAAAAATTACTAAGTTAATAGAAATAAGACAATACTCGAAAAATAAAATTACATCTCAGGGATGAATCACTTCCTTCACCATTCCCTAGCTACGCCAGTGTCGAGGAATAAATCACCTCTTATATCTTTCACTCTATTATACTAATTGTAAGAATTATTATATTACATTTTGTAAACAATCGTGATCCAAATAGTCCCAATATCGAAACAATTCTATCATACGTAAATTTAAACATGAAACAATAAATATTCATATAAATAATAAATATTCGAGAAAATAAATAACCAATGTTTCTTTTCTCACGTCGATCATTTAAGGTAGCATCCACGAGTAAATGAAGCTAGTATAGTTATTGGTGATTCGAAAAGAAAAATTTATAGTTGATTGCATAATTTGGGGTGTTTTGCACACTATAGAAAGTTTTGGGCCCTTTACAGTCGATTTTGTAGATTAAGCAATTTATAATACGCAACGCGTGGAAGTAAAAATAAAATTGGAATTGCGAAAGGAAAGAACTCGAGAAATTCCGTTCCTCTGTTTCGTTTAATCGATATTCGGCTACTTCGCACCCCAGTGCTGTTTATAATTACAAATACCATTCATAAAGGTTAGCAGCATTTGACAAAATCATGTCGTAGAAAAATTAATGCATCATTCGCACAGCTGCGCATGGGCCTTGAACTTATTTATGCTAATATGTAACGATTTACACCAGAGTTAGGCTGATAACGTTTCCATACGTTGGCTAATAGGCAATTACAATTGGTCGGTCAGCGATTACGAACTGGCGAAGTAGGTCAGTCTTACCATGTTTTTGAAGGAGATCCTTATCAGAGAACGCACATAACCCTTATAACTTTTTATGATACGCTATAAATTGAATACCCTTGCTCCTGGGGTAAATGCGGCACTCGCATTTTGCGTTTACGCTAATTCTAGCAGACCAGAATGGCAGATTTCTCGTTCCTTATTGACCATTCCATGGTACTCTCAACGTTAACTTGCGTTACCGATGTAAACCTCCAACCTGTGTGATTAATTAATCACTGCTGTTACATCGACGATGAATTTAACCCCTAAAAACCGCCATAATAATTTCTCATTTGAAAAATTACCACGAAGAATTACATATCTGTTAATTTTCAACAAATTTTCAGCTTCTCCTCGCGTTTTATTGTGACAATACTTATTATTTTCGTACCAAATTTGAATACGTAGTTCATGAAATGTATTTTCTAAAATTAATAAATAGATTGAATAAAGAAACTTAAATTTGCTGAAAAAATTTACGTTACCGATGTAAACTTCCAACCAGTGTGATTAATTAATCACTGTTGTTACATCGACGATGAATTTATCGCCAAAAGACCCCTAAAAACCTCCATAATAATAATTTCTCGTTTGAAAAATTACCACGAAGAACTACATATCCGTTAATTTTCAACAAATTTTCAGCTCCTCCTCACGTTTTATTGTGACAATAGTTATTATTTTCGTACCAAATTTGAATACGTAGTTCATGAAACGTATTTTCTAAAATTAATAAATAGATTGGAAAAAGAAACTTAAATTTGCTGAAAAGAATTCTTAAAAATAACCATTACTTCAACCACCGTCATTGTAATTTCCCAAATGAAATATTTTATTTTATTTTATTTCCAAGAGTACATACACGATCTAAAAGAGAATATTTATTTACAATTTGGTAATTAAAATAATAACTAATTAAAATTTTACCCAGCTCTGGAATTAATTGGGTAGAACCTGACTTTGAAACCGGAATGAAAAAGGGACAAATTTTGTAGCTTTTCTTACAAGTATTAACCCCAAAATGGTTTTAACCCTTTGCACTCGACGATTTTTTGGCTAAAGAAGAGTAGAGATTCAAAGATTCCCTACTAAAAAACTGACAAAACCTTTTTGAGTAGTAAATAAAAAATTGTATAATAATAGAATTGTTGAATTATTTAATTTCGATACCTCGCACACTGTTACATTACATTAAATTTGATATATTAATTAATATCGATCTTCCAAATTTTATGAAATGGTGACTGAAGCTCACCTCTCGAGTGCAAAGGGTTAATAAAATTATTTTATGAAAAATCGGTCAAAACTTCTTGAATATTTTGTATCATCGGTAAATGATTATAATGTTCGACAACGTATCGTGATCCAAATTGCAGAAGTGTCGACATTTTAAAAGATAGGAGTACACATGATTTTACATAAAAACAATATTTAAACATATTTAAAGTTAACATGGATTAATTGGAACCGTGCTAAATAATCTGGAAGAGATAAGAAAAGAAAAAGTGGAATGGCAAATATCGTGTGATGAGTTCTGTTTGAGAAACTTGATCTGAACTAATTGTAAGCAGGCTTTTGCGATGGCTAATACACATGTTACGATTCACCACACCTGAAAATTCTGACTCGTTAATGACTTTCTGCTATTTTTATATGTTGCAAAGGTTAACATATTCTGTTCTAAAACGCGATATGCAACAACTGGGTAACACGAGTTACTGGGGAGAGCTTCATTTAAACGTACCTTCGAATTGATTTCGAAGTAATAAGTTCACCAACGTGATTTTCGAGTTTCAGTAATTCCACAAATTTCTGTGGGATATGAGGTGTCGTTGAAAACTTCGTCCTCAGGTATCAACGATGTCGTATTATACGAGTTTCAATGAATTAATTATTTTAACGAGGAAAATTATAGGTTTGACAAAAAATTTGATTTACCGTGACCATGAAATTTATTTTTGCTGACAATCTGATGACTATTTCTCGAAAGATAACAAAATCAATATGTATTCGATATTGTGTTCATTTGTTATATTTGTTAGTGTTAAAGTTTGTATCTTTACTATATTTATACTGTAATTATTTTGTTTATTTATTGTTTACTCGTTTATTAAAAAATATTCGAAACAATAGTCTAAAATATATTCCGAAAAATATTCTGAAATTCAGTAATATATTCTAAAAAAATTTTGAAAATATTTTGAAAATGTTATTTTGATTAGAAAATATATATTCACTTATATTCATACAAGCTTCGTAGTTTAAAACACAATAATAACGTTTTATCTGAGCAGTATATTGCACTCTGCTATTTCAAGATTCTTGAGATGAATGTAATTATCAATTAATGTCAAATTTTTAAACAGAGAAACGTAGTATTCGATTCAATCTCCATGCTACACGACATAAAAATCTCTTATTTGAAAACTTCAAAACTAAAATTGAAATAATTAAAAATCGGTAATTGAAACTGAAATTAAAACGAGAATACACATCATTTTACTATAATATATCGTTACATTACATCTCAGTGATTTATATTTCTATAATAATTCGTATATTTCATCATTTTTAAATTTGATTTTAAACGTACATTTTTAAAATTTGATTTTATTTTGTATCGATTTCGTTATTTAATTAATTACGTAACTTCGTTTATTTTGTAGGTGAATTAATTACTGGTTGACCTTCTGCTTGCAACGTTGGAAGACACGCGAAATTAAACGGTAAATGTTACGGGATCCGAATGCATTTTGTCATTAAGGGTGAACATAAATTATTCGGGAATCAATTGTCTTGTTCATGTTAGGGTAATTGTTATTTTTGAACTACACATGTCCAATGAGACACGCAAATGAATCACATGGATATTCATGATCCACTTCGGATAATTTCTTCTTCTTTCGAAAATACGAGACAGGTCTGGCTGTTACGAAATCTTCGTGATATGTCGACAGCGTTCGGTAATTGATGCTTGAAGCTAGTACAATAGGCCTAGCGTGCACGAAGACACACTTCTGCAAATTTAAACCACAAAATGGTGGGAGCAAAGTTGTAAATTTCCCAACTTTCGTATACGTGTTTCGGGACTATTTGGTATGCTTCAACCGATCTAATCGTAGGAATGTAGTTGTGCACGATACAACTATTCCGATATCATTTATTTCGTGCAAGCAGCAAACAAGAGAATCCTACCATGCCCTTGCCAAGAGTAAATTAATGGTTACGTCATTAAATCTTATATTTTTATCATTAATGCTGCTGATACATATAGAAAAAGGTAGTGGAAGTGATTTCTCCTTTCTTCTTTCCCT